GGTCATGTGGCCGGCATGACTAAACACCAAGGCGCACGGAACGCTGTTACCTTCCCACCAAAGTGGTACCTATTTATCTACTTGCAATTTCTTGCTTTTGAACTGCTAGGTTGGCAGGAGCTGGAACTAGAGACGGGAGCTTACTCCATCTTGCGGCACCCGGGTCTCAAACTGCTGAACTACTGACCTTCCGCAACCTGCAGTTCAGCGTCTTAACCACCTGAGCCACCTCATCTCCTGCTGGTTACTAGCTGGTAATCCTAGTGTGTTGGTTTAATTCTCCAGCTTGCTTAGGCTGGAACAAAGTGTATTCCATCCCCAATAAGGTCCTGCTAACTACCCTAAGTAAAACATATAAAAACATGAAGTGAATGGCTACACGTGCAGCCCCTGCTAATAGCGTCCCCAGTGCCATTGCAGGTCAACAAAAGGGTATGGGAAGAGGCTGAGATCTCTTCTGAACCCCTTCTCCATTGACTCATGATCTGAATTAGGGCTGTGTGCACTTGGGAGACTCATGTTGTGTGATGGTCTGAGTCACTGTCAGATGGTGGAACCCAGAAAATACATTAAAAACCATAATGTGTATTTTAAACCTCAGATTCCAGGTATCCCTCTTTCCTCTTCTTGTCAATGGGCAACCTGTACTATCAAAGCTGACAGTGCTCACTTCATATTCAGCAACATACTTGCCCTGCACTGTGCATGATGTTCTCTGTATCGTGATGTGAATTTCATATAGTAAAATAAGATCCCAATGCTTTATTAAACTTTAAGTCACACAGTAAAAAATAGTTACCTACATTTAACATGAAAGACACATTAATTAGTCAAATATTGTTAGGGTTGAATTTTGGGTAATTATATAAAAGCACATGTACATTGTCATAAATGTCTCAAGACATCTAAGAGTCACCCTCTAACATATGAGTGTCAGATGAATAATTCAAAACTATGCTCCTAGAGGGCAGCTGAAGGCCTAACTGCATAATACATTTTTCCTGGGTCTTTCCGTAGGTCAGGTTGACAAATATGCTCTGGAAGTTCTATGCTATCCAGGCACACACAGGCTCGATCCAGATCAGGAACACAGCATGCTAGGAGAAAGGAATTACATGAAGAATAAGCTGAGTTAGTGTGAGCTAGCTCACAGTTCTTTAGCCTCCGGCTCACACATTTTTGTCTCAGCTCAGGAAGGAGGGCTCCAGAGCAAAGTGATTTATGCAGCAGCCAAATCGTTGGCTCACAACTTAAATGTCAGTCGCTCACTAGGTAGAATTTTTGTTCACAAGACTCCACAGCTTAGGGGGAGCATTGGGGGGGGACATAAAATACTTTCTGTTTTTAATCTTCCTCATGGTTACAAACAATGTAGAAATATTATGGGTTATTGTACAGCCTTCATTTATAATTCTGTGAATATTACATAGATTTAGATATATAGATATATATATTAACATAAAAGGATTTGCTGGGTTTTCATTGAGTCCCTTTATTTTAAAAGACAATAAATCATTTTATCCCAGGCAGCCCAAGTCAACGGAATAAGTTATACAATTCTTATTACATTCACAATATTGTCAGTATATTCACAATTTTATTATACAGTTGCCAGCTTTATTGGTTAGCTTGGTTAGTGTGTCTTCATTTTTCTTCCTTCGTGTTGCATACACTCAGGTGATGGGCAAGATACCAAATTTGGGTTATGTAGCAAAAAACCACGTTTATAAATAACTAATAAAAATATGGCTTATCATTCTCATGATACTTCAGTCACTAGAACTAAACCAAAGAAAGTAATCATTGTACAGCTTCAACATATTCAAAGGAAAGAATGGAGGGAGGAGGACAGTGATAAAGGTTCCATTTCATGTGGGGGATAGACTACATTTATACACTCCTGAAAGAGAGAGATGATTGTTTGACATGGAAGTAACAATGCAAGGATTCAGTTGCCGTTTGGTTTCTGTAATCACTGGGTTCATATAAAAATACCCTTTTATGGCCTTTAGTGATAGTGAGCTTGCCAAGAAAGGTGAGAAATTTTCAAAATAACAAAATTAGCATTATGTTGAATTGTTAATCAGCTTTTGCAGCACAGCTTTGTTAATGCCTGAGTCTAGCAGCTACTTGCACATACGCAGTATCTGATACACTCATAACCCAAGGCCTTCCTTTTTCATTTCTTTTCTGAGGAGCCACACAAATTGTGAGAGCCTGCATCCATGGGAGTGGTGTGTGTAGTGCACATCGCAACATCACATACCACTTTTGGAGGTAAGGTTTACAGTTATCTATTGATACCAGCTTATATTCCAGTGGATTCAGGAACTGTGTTCTAGTATGATAACTGAATATCGATTATTTCCACAGTTCAGATTATAAACTATAAGGGTTGTAAACCAATATATGGTTACATGCCTCTATGTCCCACTAACTTCAGTTGGCTCTAAATATATATAATGGTGTTTTGCATTATAGTTGAAAACACATTCTACAGCATACACTTAGTTAAGAAACTGGCAGTGCAGTCCTAAGCAGAGCTACAGCCTTCCAAGCCCACTGACTTCAGTGGACATAGAAAAGCATTACTCTGTTGAGGATTGCACTGTAATGAACGATTGTAACATGTACGTCAGCAGTATTCCATCATTTCTGGAAGTCCAAAAGAAAGGCTAAGCTGAACAATGCTTTCTCCCACATGGGCTCATGTGAGAAATAATTGTGAAGCTGAAATCAAGATTTCAGTTTGCTTTGTTTTAAGAATATGCATAGAGACCGTTTCAAAGGGAAGGATGACCTTCATTCTTATAAATGTTTTGGATCAGCCATGATACTTAAAGAATACGCACTGGTTCCAGCTATGGGAAATATTATCCATGATTGATACTTGCTTCAAGCAAAACAACTCTGATTAAGATTTGCCACAAATGAGAAGTTTACCGGGGATTCTTGTCAGTTTTGGTCTATGAGTTTACCAGCAGTATCGTTCAAAGAGTTTGTTTGCCAGCAAATAACTGAGTTCCCTGGCAAGTTGAACTCATCATTATAATTATTGTAAACGAGAACTTTGGAAATCTTGTAACTGACCTCACACTGTAAATTGTAAATTTTAGATCCAGTGCTTCCACATGGATGTCTGTAATGTTATTTCCTTGTTAATTCTGAAAAGAACGTAACAAATATTGTTCATGTATATTTGATAATCTGGTTACTAGAACTCAGATTGTAAGACTTCAGGAATACACGAGGTAACATTTTTATATAATTAGCAGTGGTTTATGTTCTTTGAATAAACAGGAGTAATAATGGAACATACTCAGTAATTTCTTCTTTATATTCTGTTATGTACTGTGTTTCCCTAGTTCTTTTTGTTTTAAGAATAAGCATAGAGACAGCAGAAAAACTTATGCTATTTACAGAATAATGTAAAAACAACTTTCCAAGCCTAGAACTAGTTCATAAGCACAGATCAAATACTGCTAACAGATTTCAAGCCCTCCTAATTGTAAACCTGATAAACATTTATTTAGGGGATTTTTTTTTAAGTGGGAAATTCTTCTGAAATATACACTCTACAGGGAGGTTTTCCTACCCAGGTCAACAAGAGTTACCCTGTTTTCCCAAAAATAAGACCTACCCCAAAAATAAGCCCTAGCAGGATTTCTATGCATTTGTGGTATAAGCCCTAGTGTGTCTTCTTGAGAAAAAATAAATATAAGACAGTGCCTTATTTTCGGGGAAACACGGTATTATGAGAGCTGCACAAAAAAATCCATTTCTTTCACTAGAACTTGCAGCATTAAACTTCCCAGAGGATTGTGGCTAAAGTTTTCAGGACCATGATGAACACACTTATTCTTTTATACAGGCTTCTACTAGAGTCTTAAATGGAGGTTCTGGCTGATCTAAAAAATCAAGTTCTTCGTCTTCTGATTCGCCTGTACAGGAGCTTAGGGTTCCAACTGGTGATCCTTTTCCTTCATATTTATATGGAAGTACATATTCTTTACTTTGGTGGAGTTCATCTTCTTCTTCACACTGAAATACCTTCTGCAAAGAAAGAAAATGCATAAAAATTTCTTATATGCAAGTAGAATTTAATAAAAATATGGCTTTAAACATCCTTTATTGTTTGTTTTTAATCAATACACCTGATTGATCTGATTAATCATATACTTCTTTAAAATCTACCAACCACAGGTGTAATAATCAAATATCAAGAATTCTGTTATTTTAGAAAGCAGAGGGATCCAATAACTTCCTTCTACTAAGTCTTCTTGTGTAAGAAAAGGTTTTTCACAGTTGGAGGAAGACTTACCTGAATGGAATCATTGGGCTGGATCCCACAGACGATTTCCAAATCCTTGCACAAGACGTACTCAAGTTACTTCTCACACTCTATTTACACTAAGTGAAAGCACTATTCCTAAGTTTCTTTTTCACATTCTTGAGAAATAATTTCAAAACCAAATTACAGGAAATCATGTGACTCATCTGTTGTACATTCAGTTGTTTCATACGCACGTTTTTATGTTATTAAAATGATACGAAAGCACCATATGTTGCTGTAGCCATTGCTCTATTACTTGCACAAGTGGAACTGCACTAAGTACAATTTCCTTTCTGTTTACACATCACTGGATCCAATACATTGAATCCAACCCAATATTATTTGCTAAAGGTAAGAAATATCTTTTTGAGTTCAAAGTGCAATTTCACAGTCTGTTCGGTGCCACATAGCATACCTTTAGCATGCCTTCAAAATGAATTGCTGTGTGAACTTGTATCTGGTCGTGGACCGTAATAAATTATCCATTCATTTATTCATACCTTTAGCATGAGGATCAGAGTTTGCATTCAAATACTGGGAACATTTGAATAGGTTAGGTCACTTACAGTGCACTTCTAAGCAGAATTACACTGTTCTCAGCCTACTGACTTCAGTGGACTTAGACTGGAGTAATTCTGCATAGGGGTACACTAACTCACCAATGTACATATGTACAAATGCAAGTATAATTAATTAATTTCAACCATTCAGGGAAGACAATAGTCATTCTAAAGCTAACTTTCCTGCCTAGTAAATGATGACACTGAAGTTCAGTGTCAGTAAGTGTAAGGTGATGCACATTGGGACAAAATATCCTAATTTCAAGCATAGGCTAATGGGGGTTGAATTTGCTGAGACTGAGAGCATAAAAGATTTTGGAGCTGAAATAGCTCAATGAAAGTGTCAATCCAGTGTGCTGTGGCAGTGAAAAAGACAAACTCGATGTTAGGGATTATTAGGAAAGGGATTTAAAATAAAATGGTGGATATTATAATACCCTTGCTTAGATCTATAATGTGGCCTCATTTGGATACTGTGTAAAGTTCTGGTCATCATATCTCAAAAAGGACAATGTAGAGCTCGAAAAAGTACAGAAGAGGGCAACCAAGGTGACTAGGGGGTTGGAGCACCTTCCCTATGAGGAAAGGCTGAAGAGTCTGGCACTTTTCATTTTCGAAAATAGACAACTAGGGACCGACATGATAGAGATTTATAAAACTATGAATGGGATGGAGAGGGTTAATAAAGAGAACTTTTTCTTCCTCTCCCAAAGTACTAGAATTTGAGGGCATCCAGTGAAGCTGATGGGCAGTAGATTCAGGATGGACAAAAGGAAATAAATTTTATACAGCAAGTGAACAAAATTTGAAATTCACTGCCAGAGGATGTAATGACAGCCACAGGCACAGACAGCTTTAAAAGACAGATTCATAGAGGACAGGTCCATCAGCAGCTATTAGCCATGGTGACTAAAGGGAACTTCCATATTCAGAGGTAGTAAACCTCTGAATCCCAATGCCAGGAGGCAACATCAGGCAAGGCTCTCCTCTATGCCCTGTTGTTCGACATCCAGAGGAACTGCCACTGTGTGAGATATGATGCTGGACTAAATGGACCACTGGTCAGATCCAGCAGGGCTTCTCTTATGCTCTTAACAGGAACAGGATTAGACAGTGGATACAAAATTATTATTTTACCAATACAATTATGTTCAAAATCAGAAAATGAACTATGGAAGATGTCACAATGGGGGACAAAAAAGCTTAACATCAATTCAGACATGAGCTATGAGGAATCTGTACCAGAATGCTTACTTCAGCTAGGTGAGGATTGGAGAAACTCCGCCATTCAGAATAGAGGCTTTTATATGAGTTTTGCAGATGCTGTCCAATATTCTGTATGGATCCTCCAATGTGTTCTTCCCTTCCTTTTATCAGTTCCATACTTCCAGTTTTTTCTCCAATTGTGCTCATGCTAGTTGCATTTGTTGTTTTCACAGGAAGTATATTCAAATCCTGAAGGAAAAGGTGACAGGATTCTCTGAATTAAAGAAATAATTATTTCTTATCTTACAAAGTCAGACTGATAAAGTAATTGCAAAACTGGACTTGAGCTCACCATGACCCAAGGCCAGCTCATACATTCCACTGTGGTGAGCCCATATCACACCAGGTGGCTTCACTTTCACTTGTCTCAAAAAGCAGCTGCCTTCAGGGGTTGGATCAGGGCACAAGTGAAATAATAAGTTGAAGCCACGAGTCTCACAAATACGTGTAGATCCCAACTAGTATTTCTTTTGGTCCTTTGTTTTATTCTATCACAAGGAGTGTTTCATATATTTTATTGACTTCATGATATTGCTGTTTCTTGTAATTTATGTATCATTGCTTATTAAGAACAGATTTATATCTATTTTTCCTCATCTTTTCAGGGGGGCATTATTTTCAAGAACTCACAGTTGTGATGTTTAGAAAGGAGGGGAGGCACAAAACTGTAATTTGGTTGGGGTATCTCAGAAACCTGGTGGAATGGGGAAAATCTATGGGATACAGTCATGACTGGGTATGAGCTCTATAGGCAGGACAGGGAGGGACAGGCTGGTTGTGGTGTTGCATTGTACATAAAAGAAGCATAGAATCAAATAAGTTAGAAAACATCAAGAGAATTAATTTCCCAACAGAAGACAGGGAGATGGGAAAGAATCTCAATGAATTTTTTGCTTCTGTGTTCACTCTGGAAAATGTGGGGCATGTACCCATATTTTCAGGAAGGGAGTTTGAAGAAGTGAACCAAATTGAGGTGACCAGAGATGAAGTTCTACACCTATTGGGGGGGAGTCTCCAGGTCCTGATGGCATACATCCAAGCAGGGGTCATTTTGTAGAAAAAGAGGTGCAGGCGCTCATTAGCATAACTCATTAGCATAACTTATTTGCATATGCCACACCCCCTGACATCACCAAAAGTGTGGTTGTTATCTTGGGGAGAGGCTCCAGCAGCTACCCTGCGAGTTTGGAATCTCTCCCTCAAGCCCCCTCCCCTCCAGCCCCCAGAATATACCCTATGTTTTCGCCATTGACTTCAATGGCCCATAGGATATAATGGGCCTGAATTTGCATTTGGCTGGCCGAAAGACTCCAGAATCGGCTCCTACTGACGAAACTGACATGCGGGAGTTTTACTGCCAGCCGAAATTGATTCTGCCCGATTCGGCCGAATCCAAATGGGCCGAATTTATTTATTTTTTTGCACACCCCTACCTACAAGGATTGGTATTGGACCTGGTACTATTTAATTTATTTATAAATGATCTGGAACTAGGGATTTAGTAGTGTAGTGGCCAAGTTTGCAGCTGACACCAAATTATTCAGGATGGTGAAAACCAAGGCTGGCTGAGAAGAGCTCTAAGAGGACATCCACAAACTGTGGCAAATGAAGTTCAATGCTGTGGTAAGTGTAAGGTGATATATACTGCGACGAAAATTGCCAATATCAAGTATAAGCTAATGGGTTCTGAATTTGCTGAAATTGAGAGGAGAAAATATCTTGGGATTGTAGTAGATAGCTCAGTGAAAGTTTCAAGCCAGTGTGCTACAGCAGTGAAAAAGGCAAACTCTATGTTCAGGATTAAAGGGATTGAGAATAAAATGGCAGATATTATAATGCCCTTGCTTAGGTCTATGGTGCTGCCTCATTTGGATTACTGTGTACAGTTCTGGACACTGTATCTCAAAAAGGACACTGCAAAGCTGGAAAAAGTACAGAGGAGGGCAAGATGATTAGGGGATTGGAGCACCTTCCCTATGAGGAAAGGCTGAAAAGTCTGGAACTTTTCAGTTTAGAAAAGAGATGAATAAGGGGGAACATGATAGAGGTTTATAAAATTATGCAAGGGGTGAAAAGAGTTGACAAAGTGAAATTTTTCTCTCTCTCCCAAAATACTAGAACTCAAGGGCATCCACTGAAACTGATGGGCAGTAGGTTCAGAAAGGACAAAAGGAAATACTACTTTACACAGAGAATGATTAAAATGTGGAATTCGCTGCCAAAGGATGTAGTGATGGCCACAGGAATAAACAGCTTTAAAAGGGTATTAGATAGATCCATGGAGGATAAATCTATCATTAGCCATGGTGACTAAAGCAAACCTCCACATTCAGAGGCAGTAGAGCTCTGAATAGCAGTGCTAGGAGGCAGCATCAGGGAAAGGTCTCAGCCTCTGTGCCCTGTTGTTGGAACTCCAGAGGAAATGGTTGGCCACAGTATGAGACATGATGTTGGACTAGATGGACTATTGGTCTGATCTAGCGGGGCTCTTCTTATGTTCTTATGGGTGACAAATACCTTGATCTCACCCTAACTTCATTCACTTCCCCTGTCTCCAATACCATCATGCTCATACCCTCTTCCATCCATCTTTCCCACCGCCACAGGAATGCAAAACAAAGTTCTTTTTCTCGCTTTTTCTCCTTTGTTATTTACTTTTAAATGATCAATTTTGCTCAGTCTTTCTTTAAAATCTTTAAAGACTTATCCGGATATCTCCCTCGGCATTTCCAAGCTTCTCCCGGTAAGTAATACTGTAATCGTTACCTTGTTTGTTTATTTTGGTTTTCGCAATGTCTCCGCTGTCCAAATTATTTCCCCTTAGTCCAAGAGATCGGGAAATGACAACTCTAAGCTGAATTCTCAGCTCGGTGAGCTCCTTTAGTGCTGAATGCAACGCCCGCTTCGAGAAAGGGGATCAAAGTGCAAAACAAGTCTCCTCCGAGGCTTGATCGCACCAATCTCAACTCTCTCTAGGGTCTTGATGCTTGCCATACTCTCCCCCTCACTGGGGAAGGTTGCGTTGGACTGATAAATAGCCCAAACTGTCAAAAGGAGCCCCTGTCCCCCTGCACAATTGCAAAGTGCGTCAAATCGCCATTTTCCCCCAACCAGAAGCCCATACCCTCTTCCATCCAGAGCAGGATGCAAACATGTTTTTTTCAGCAACAGGGCACATACCAAGGTGCTACGTACAACCACACTGCACCACTGTGGCTTTCTTATGACTCACTATTCTGTCTTGTCTGAGAAAAAAAAAGCTGGCCTGGCTTGAACCCCAAACAAGTTGCCCCCAACCCTTTTTGGATTTCAGTTTCAGACTGCACACTTCAGGTTGGGGTTGGTTTACATTTCAGATCTCTGGTGACAAATGTAAAATCTCAGCTGCAAATAGGCAAATAGCAGCAGGTCTGTAGCCAGGATTTTTTTTTAATTCAGGGGGCCTTTAAATAAGTTGGGGGCACCCCCCACACACACCCGCACGCACCCCAGATGAGTAGCCCCACTCCTACTCTTCCCTGCGACCACTTGGCTTTAGGGCTTGGGAGCAGGGGGGGGGGAATCCTGTGCCAGCTGCCAATTTATTTGCACAGGCATGCTTGGTGCCTCGGGGAGGGAGGAGAAGACAGAGGCCCCACAGCTTTGGATCGCAAAGGACGAATTCAGGCAAAAACCGGGGAATGAATCAGACCGAGAGGGAGCAGTCACAGCCAGCAACAAGCACCATAAATAAAATAAAAAATTGGCAGTTGGGGGCCCTAAACTGGATGGGAAGTCATGGAGCCTTGGTGGTAAGTTGGGGGAGGGGCAAGAAGTCCCACTGTAGCTATGGGCAGTCATCACATTGTTTTCTTCACAAAATAAGAGCTGTGGTTAGCACATGCACATCAAAGTGCCTCATAACAATAAGTAATTGACAATGCTTATAACTCCTTCTCTCATAGTAATAGTGGGCATTGCTAATGAACTGCTATCAATAATTTTTATTGCCATAAAATGTCAGCATATAAGTGCTGGAAAGAGGCTGCTGTTTGAAGGGCAAGGATATGTTCCAAAGTACAATTTCCCTCTTTGGGGGCAGCAAATGCATAATCAATTAGCCTGGTATTTCCAAACAAGGGGGGCAACTTACCATCACATTCTCACCTGGTGCCTCAGTGTTGGATACAATTAAATTGTGGGAAGCTGAACTATCACCCACCTCGTGACGCATGGACCCTTTTTTGCGGAGCCAGTAACTTAAGGGTATAGCCATGACTCCTTCAGAAGAAAATACACAAAATCAGAGAATTAGATCTTATTGATCGGACTTAAAGGCAGGCTCAGTAACTGAAATAAGTTAGCATTCATCTTTGTAAGGCTTTTTGTGGCAAGAGTATATTTTTAAATATACTGAGAGGAAGGGGAGGAAATACTCACCTAGAATATGCATGATGTAAAATACTATTGGTTAATGTTCGGAAGTTGGAGCACTTTTGCTTCCTTTGGAGGAAGTGCCTACCTCTGGAACAGAGGCCTAGTGTTCACAAACAGCAAATGATGTGGCCAACCTGTATCTGGGCTACTCACCTTTGACCTGCAAGTATAACGTATATAACTGAATGTTCCTCCTTACGCAAAAATTCCCCACAGATAGAAAACCACAATCGGGGTGGGGGGAACTATGCTAGAACATTTTACCATGAAATCTGTTGTTGTTTTTGTTAACCTTTTAGAAACTGTTGTGTATAGAGGAGCATTCATGCATGTGATTCCCACCTGCACATGCTGTTATGAAGTCCAGATGCAGGTTTAGCAGCTCATCTGCTGTTTATGAGAACTATACCAAAGATCCTGTAGGTACAAAATCTGGCCACTGACCCTTCAAAATTGTCTTGCAAAAAGTATTTCTCAATTTTTTGTCTGGGTCTCTGTGTGGAACACAGTCCCCTAATACCTGGCTGGTCTGTCTCAAACTCTTACAATGTAATTAATCTCTAAAATACTTTAGTTAATGAGAAACCCTGGAGTGTAATACAGTGGTTGTGTTCCAGGAGTGTGAAATAGCTAGGTTTCTCATTTCTGCTAGTCAATGAAGCTAACAACATGTCTATCAAGATGGCTTTACAGGTGCAATGGCATAAATTCAGCAGCATTTTTTTTCTAAAAGACTCTGATAGCCAAGTTAACTATGACTGTGCCTGACTATAACAATTGCTAGAAACAGAAGCACTACCTGACTTTGGTCCAGACCAACTGCTAATGCTTTAATCTCTTAATCCCTCTTTTAAAGCCAATATGATGTGATGGTTACAGCTTTAACTAGGACTTGTGATAATTGGGTTTAAATCTCTCTTTGGAGCCACCAAACTTCCTGGGTAGCATTGGGACAGTCACTGCCACCCAATCTAATCTATCTCACTAAGTGGGTGTAAGGATAAAAGGTGGGGGAACCATGTATGCTGAGCATCTTGATCAAGGTAAAAATGTAATAACCCAAGAATAAGGACAAGTATGAAGTGGAATGCAAACAATGGTAAATGATAGGATGTGGCACGGACTATGCCTTTTCCATACCATTAAAACCTAATCCTGCATATTTTCATACCAGCTTTCCCAGTTATAGTAACTTTAAGGTTAGAAAGAGAGGTTTTGATTCAGAAATATGAGAACACAATTATTGGGATCCATCAGCCAAATTAGTTTAGAAGTGTAGATCATTCCATGTGGAGGAAACTGGATTCAGCCCAGATAGTGAATAACTAATTTGTCTGTGAGTGTTGGTGATCGTACTTGTTTATTATTGTATTGTTTTACTGCACTGCTGGTCAATTGGCCGTAACAATAAATTTGAATAAATTTGTGAATAACTAATGAGTGCTGGCAAAAGTGGCCCAGATATGGCTGACATATCAACATAATGGATTTCTGCAAGTTGTTGTTGCCAATAATTTTAAGGCTAGTTAACGGACCATCTTCTATTTAAAAAGATTGAATGGACTGGATTTTTCCACCCCTGTGTGAGAAGTTGTTGAAGGCACATCATGTACAGTGGCACTTTTACAGTGACATTAAAAATAGTTATACCTTTCTAAAACCATTTACTTTAGGATTGCACTCTTAATTACTTAAACTGCCCAAAGAAATCATTTTGAGTATTCAGGGCTAAATCCTCCAATGAAGTTTCTTAGTAGTATCAAAATTTATTATTGTACCATTTTACACTTACATACACGGGCTGAACCTGAAGAATTCCAAAGCAGTGTCATTAATTCCCACATGCTAATGGATTTAATGACTCATTTTGAATTTCATCTTCAAGACATAAATATACTCACCCATTGATAACATTGTTCCCAGCACTGTTGAAAAGATGGCCCAGGGACCAAAAGATCCCCCTCCACCTGGAGCTTGATATTGCACATCTTCCGTAGAAACCCGATCCGCAGAGATGTCTGAACTGAGGTCAGAACAATCACTTGGAAATACACAGTTACAATAATGAACTCTTATTTCACTTATTCCACTGTTACCTCCATTGTCATATGTCCTAATAAGAAGTTTATAATAGCCATAAGGTAGATCTTCATCCAGTGACAGCAATGCTGATTCCTCTGCATAAGAAATTATCCAAATGTAGTAGTTAAAAATTTACACAATTGCTACTTTAGCTAAGCTTACTACAGATCATATACATACCATCATACGGTATTATCCTCCATATTGAGCCCACTGGCTTCTCTATTTCAAAATGGAAAGGTGTTGTATAGGGAGGCTGATCAGCATCAAAGGCTGTAACATATACTGGTTCTTTGTCCTTGCACATTATGTAATTACTTTCAGTAATCACTGGGTAATTGTCATTTTCATCCATCACTGTTATAAAAATTTTTCCAGTTCCTGTTTTACCACCTGGGAAATTAAAATAGTCTTTCATAGTTTAACATTTTAAATCGTCATGTTTAAAAAAAAAACAAAAACCAGGCCAGGTTTATCTCTCCCATGATAATGTACAGCAATGCAAAGAATTCTGTGCTAAATAGGGAAGGTTTTCCCCTTTGTTTCTTTCATAGGTTTTAGACTTATTCTGTGGCCACATAATAACAAAACTGGACAACATAAATATGTTCAAGAAGAGGCACTGGAACATGGCATGGGTGTCTGCATAAAATGTTAGTTGCATGTGAGACTGAGAAAGAAGAAAAAAGTCATGCAGCAATAGAGGAGCCAATGAGAACAGAGCTTCAGTAGCCAATAGGAGCTGTGGGCTGGGAAGCAGGGAGTCAGTTAAGATTTGACAGTTGGTTGTGAGAGTCTGGAAGTTGGAGACAGAGATGTGTGTTTGGGCAGGGCTTAATCTCAGGGAAGTGTTTTTACAAGTGCACTGTTAATCCCCTAACAGTATTCTACATTTACTATTAAATAAACGTTAATGTTCTCTTTTGTTTTTTAGTGGGGGGGAAAACCTCTCACACAGTTTACCTCATCCTTCAGTTATCAGCCCAGGCTCCAGTGAGTTTTATATTCGACCTAAATTCTGTTTAATAAGTATATTCCTTAGTGCAGTGGGGAAGGCAGGAAAGTAAGTAGTCCTGGGGTGGGTTCTGGTGAAGTGAAAGTTTTAAAAGGGACTTGGCCCAGGAAAACATCAAATTGGGTTGAAGAGAATAATTTTTAAAATAAACGTTCTTTAAATTCAGTTCTGCACTACAGTTTGGTTCTGACATAAAGACAAACTGATTTAGCACTTCATTTACTGAGCCTCAGACTTATACACGCTCTCATTTCTCGTTCCCTTGTCTCCATTTGTGCTCAGATTCTTGCCCAGACTTCCACTTTTACAGCAAAGCATAGTTTGCCATTTCGAAAATGTTGTTCCATTTTTTTTCTAGATTCATTCTAATTAGGCTTACTAAATCAGTGGCCCAATTCTCTAAGCGTCACAAACAACTGATTCCTGTCTTTAATAGGGCACTGCTCTGATAGGATCAAGACTGACATCCTATGTGCTTTTCTGTCCCGTATGAGCTGTGAGGAACATGCAAACTTGTCTGGGACGAATACAACAGAAAGAGAAGAATGGAGTTCCAATAACTGGATAATGCTTCAGACCAGTAGAACAAACTGCTTCTTACATTACTAAAGTGAAAGCCAATTCTTAAGAATCATGTTGTCCATTTCTTATGGTTAGCTCAACAGAGTAAACATAATACATAATCCAATGTCCTGCCTGTGCAGACGTTTATCTCCTATGAAGACTGTTATGTACCAAGGGAGACCGCACACGCGGTCAGGCTCGCATGTGGCCATGCGAACAGGTTAAGCTTTGCAGCCGAAGACAATAGAAGCGGAGGATCCAAGTGCTAGCCAATCGGCCAGCCTGGATCCTAAAAGGAACCAATGCTGGGAGTTTGTAAATAAACCTATCACAGGGGAATGTGTGTGTTGGGTGTGGTTAAGAACGGGAATATAAGCAGGCCAGGGGTCCCGCTAGTTATCTCAAGTTCTCCTATGCATGAATAAAGTATGAGCTGGAATCACTACGCTATGCCTCAGTCTCAGTAGTTTATAAAGACAAAGGAGAAAGAAGTGCAAGGAGATTCTGTCTTGTGCATAACAGGGCACTTCTGCAAGTGTTACATTTCAGGCATGAATTAGAACTGCTGGATTGTGCCTGCTGTCACAAAATCTAGGCATGGGTTATGCAGACCACATGAGAAAATGTGAATGGCAGGGGAAGGGGAGAAAGTCTCTGCTTCTCAACATTATACAGGTTTCCAGTTACAAGGAAAATGAAAGATTCTTGACAATTATTGAAGCCTCAAAGTTTACAGTAGAGCAAAGATATTTTTCACAACACTGGGTACTCACTTCGGTCTGTAGCACAGACTGTTATGGTGCATGGAGAATATTCCATATTTGGTATATCTCTGTCTAAAACTCTAGTGGTTCTCAGCTGTCCTGTGTTGTCAATGATGATCCAATTGCACATGCCATTTATTATTCTGTAACTATTGAGACCAAATAATTTTAAAGGGCTTTATACCATGAATGAATTGCAAAAACATAAAACAGTTATCATTTTCCCCTGATTTTATTCAGATACTGTAAACTAAATAAGACAATAAAAGAAATGAATACCTTATGCCTTCACTATTTCCAGTTTCTGGGTCCCTCGCTTGGTAATCACCAACCACCGTTCCACTTGGCAAAGATTCCTTAATAGTCAGAAAATATTCACAAGGATCAAATTCTGGCCCCTCATTCTCATCCAGAATTCTGACTATAACTGTGGCAGTACTTGTTGAAAGGGCTCTTGAATTTGGTGCTAATGCATAAGGTGCTTCATTATTTACAACAATTTCTAATCTTCTCTCCTTGGTTTTTTCATAGTCCAGACTCTGGAAATAAATGTATTTCTATTAAAATCAGTGCAGGGCTTAATATAACTATGTTACTTTAATCTTAATATCTTAATATTATAAATAATGATTATGGATAGATTTTTTAAAAATCCACTGTCTTCCTCTAACTGATTTCCTTCCTTCAAATAACTTACACCATGAGGAAAATTTCTATGAGAGGTACATTTCAAAGATGTCAACTCTTGAAAATCAAATGTGAATACAACATGTTAAAAATAGCTACTCAGGGTTTAAACTTGATGAGCAGGCATCATTCACACCCTAAGGTGTCTTGGGTCAGGTATACAGTGGGGGAATCTAAAAACAACCCCAAAAGAGGCTGCACTGTAGCTAACAGTAGAAGGGAAAGGCAGGACTGGGTCCTGAGGACACCTAAGAGGTAGGAAGGGGCAAAGATTGCTGTGGGAATAAAACCTTCCGTGGAAGTCAAGGCCTACTCAACTGTAGGTCAAATACGATTGCCAGACATGACCTGGCAACCAGCAGGAGACATGGGGGTGGGGGCATGGGGGGCAGCCACTGGCAACAGTGTGATGTTACTTCTGGGGTCAACCCAGAAGTGATGTCACACCTCTCTAGAAATTGCCGGAAACTCTGGTTCTGAGAGGGAACTCATAACTTCTGGGTTTTTCCCAGAAGTGACATCATGACGTTGCCCCCAAAAAAGGTCAGAGCAGAGGGGGGAAAGGCCGGAGCAGAATTAAGTGGGGACAGAGAGAGAGTGGGATGACAAAGGCAGGAAGCCAGACAGCAGGCAAGGCCTGAGGCCTTTGAGGACAGAAGGGATCAGGCTGGCCTTGGCCCCTGCCCCCTCAAGGACCAGGGAGGCAGCACTCCTGGCCTCTCCCAAATCCTGATCATGTAGAATGGATGCATAGTAGGGTTGCCAATTTCCAGGTGGGGTCTGGAGATCTCCTGGAAATACAACTGATCTCCAAACCACAAAGATTGTTCCTCTGAAAAAAATGGCAGCTTCAAAAGGCAGAAAATGACAGCTTCAAAAGGCAGATGGTATGTATCATATCCCTTCTGAGCTCTGTCCCCTTCCCAGACTCCACCATTGCCAGGCTCCTTCCCCAAATCTCTAGGAATTGTCCCACTTGGAGTTGGGAACCCTAGTGCATAGTGGCTAGAGGCAGAAATTATAGAATCCTGGGAGCAAGACCTGAGCCCTGAGTAGAAGCAACTGGAAGCAGTGAGGAATGACTGGACATTTGAACTGAGAACTCTTGCTATGAGCAAATTACGCAACAAAACACAACTTTAGTGATCCCCCCTAGTGTCTGCCTTTTATTGGAGAAGCTAGAGGAGGATGGAACGCCTGCATGTACAGGCAGCTCTGGCCTTAGGGGCATTACGGCAGGACATTTTGGTACTGGTTTTAAAAAGAGGAAATTATTATACTGTGTTGAATCCAAAGATTTCCTGCCCTCTAAGTCATTTCTGCAAGCAGAAGGTGGAAGCAAGTCCCCTCTCTCATTGCAACCTACTGAGCTCCCTGAAATCATGCTCCTGTGGCCTTGGGACAGGCGACCCTTAGGAACAGAGTGGGGCACAAAGGGAGAAATGGCAGTGGAAGAAGGAGTTGGTAGAAACTGATCCTCTTCACTGATGGAAAAATGTTTGGATTTCTTCCATTATGAGTATTAAAATGCGATCATACCTTATATAGCCTTTCTGATCTATGGTTACCTTTAAAGCAGTTAAATGCCCAACATTCGTCTCTTCATCTACGGTAATAGAAAAACTGTGGTCTTCATTTCCTCTTATAATAGTGGCAGTTCCCAACCACGAAGGTGTTCCAAATTGATCATCATCTTTAATAGGAATGAGCAATATTTCCACATTTTCTGTGTTTTCAAATACGTCCACTTCATACTGAAATGCATTAAGTTCAGGCTATTAGTTTATGAACAGTTTAGCCATTTTAGATCAAAGAAGCCAATTCCTAAGGCAAGGATTTCATTGGGTTGGATCTAATCACTCCCTTCCACTAACTTTTCGTGTATCAAAGGAAGAATTTTTTTTTTGTCAGAAGAACACTTTGCAGAAGAGAGTCATTGGATACAATTTAGCAAAAGGTAGTTACTAGATGATGGTGGCCAGAGAGTCATTGGATACAATTTAGCAAAAGGCAGTTACTAGATGAAGGATCGGTAGGTGGCCTCATGGATTTTGGATGTGGATAATAAGAGACAATGAAACAAGGCACTGGAGAAATAAAGTAATAACTGAATATTGGGCAATGACATATGATCAACTATATAAACAATACCTTGAATAAAACTTTGTTGGTCTTAAAGGTGCCACTGGACTCAAACTTTGTTATATAAGCAGTTGTTCCATTATGACAGGAAAAGGAAATGTAATGCTGTCAGAACAGTTCTGAAAAGTTTTCTTTTTTACATTGTCTAAATTTACTGGAATGACAAGGAGAACTGATTCACTTAAGTAAAGGCAAACTTACCACAATTTGTTCTAATCGTGGAACATTGTCATTTATATCTGTAATCTCAATGATCACTTCTGCTGTAGTGCACAAAGCAAATTCATAGCCTCCCATATCTCTTGCTTCTACTTGTAGTCTATACTCCAATGTTGTCTGAAGAAAGACATTAACAGGAATATGTAGATTAAAATATCCTTGTGTCATAGGAAAACATGGGTTTTGAAACATTAACAGGAATATGTAGATTAAAATGTCCTTGTGTCATAGGAAAACATGGGTTTTGAAACATACCCAGAGACCACATGACCAGCCATTCTTCAAATAATTACATATTTATATAATGTTTGAAGGGGCAAAGATGTCATAAAAAAAAAATTAGTTTGGACGACCTGATCCTAAACACTAGCATGTTCATTCTGTCAGTGTTTTACAGCCTCCACAAGACCATACTTCCATGTTTGATGCAGGGTGTTGCTGTATGAGTCAAGAAACTGTAAGAAACTTTTAATTTGAATATGACTTCAGTGGCTGAGGCCCTAATCAGTAACTCCTTGCCAGGAATTTACCTAACTGTGTAATCTGTTGTGACTAGAAGGTTACAAATGTATTGCACTGATTCTGGCCTAATGATTGGAGGCTCAGGTCTCCTCTATGGCACATACTTGCTTTTATCAGCTTTGGCTACTATACCAGCTACAGCCATTCCTCAAGTGTGAACAGGTCATGCTCTGATCACATCCCCAGGATAAATTACTGAAATGCATTTTATGTGGTGTACCTTTGAAAACTGTGCAAACATTTCAGTTGGTACAAAATGTGGCAACCAGGCTATTGTTGGGGACTGGATACAGGTACTATATCATCCCTATGCTAAAAGATGTGAACTGACTGTGACTATCTTTCCAGGCACCATTTAAAGTGTTGGTTCTTATCTTCACAGCACAATACTAAAAGCACTTTACTAGGACTAAGCCTCCCTGAATAGAATTGAGCAAGATTCTGAGAAAACTAACTTTGGACTTTTTAATGTCCAAAATGGCTTGGGGACAGGATACTTGAAGCACAGCCTGTTTCATAAAATCTTGTCCCCCAGCCCTCTCTCTATGCATCTGTCTGCAAAGGTGAGGCAAGTGGTGACCAGAGACAGGGCTTTTACAGTGGTGGCACCTCACCTTTGGAATGCCCTCCCCCTTGAGGCTGTCCTTGAGGCACCAGGCCAAAACATTTCTTTTTACTCAGGGTTTTAACAGATGGGTTCCATTCAACATTGTCTTCTAGCCAAAGGGTTATTTTATGAATATCATCTTAGGTTGCTGAATGTTGTTTTATCTTGTCTTTATTCCCTTGGCTTGTGTTTGCAGTTTTTTATATTTAATTCTTAGGCTGGTTGTTTTTACGATTTTATTATATTGTTTTTTTACTTTGTGAGCTACTTCAGGCAGGTCTCTGGAGAAGTGGCGTATAAAATCTTCCCACAGATGTTCTATTTAAGCCATATGATGTATTGCTCCCCTTTTATTCACATATACCATGTTCCCCTTGCCATATCAATTGCAAATACAGTATGCAGATAAATGTGAAATGCATGTACAATTACCTCTCTGTCCAGGTTTGGTGATAATACAGTAATAGAACCTGAATCTGGATGTATCCCAAATGCCTCTGAGATATGATACATTTGACCACTCTGTGATACAATTCTGTATCTAATTGTGCTGTGTAAAGTGTTTGGCTCATCTCTGTCTGTTGCAGTCACCTGTCCAACAAGCGTTCCTGCATGTATAAAGCATCATGTTTAAATTTTCACCTTTCTTTCAGAAGACAGTTTTCAAGCTACTTCTAATTTATCCATGTAAATTCAGGCATACACATAAGAAATGGGGGTGAGGGTGGGGGAGTAAACTGTAATCACAACAATTAAGGAGAACTATAACATTTTTGAATACATGAAATTGGATATTACAAGCTATAAAGGGAAGAAGTTAATAAAACTGATTTCTTCCCCTCTCCCTTTTCCCTGTAGCCCTGAAAACTATTCCTGAGGGTTAAGGGGCCAATGGGAACAGAGCGGGACCCTGCACAGGTGGCTGCAGTATGAAAGGAAATTGGAATAAATAACATGGTTTCTCTCTTGAATGAGCTCTTTGGCAACTAGAATAACAGCTAGCAAGGAGGGGGTGATTTCTGCTAATTCTTCCTTTAATTTGCAGCCCTCCCTTTTGCCCCACCACATTCCTTTTCTAATGTCACCTCAGCACTGTAGAACTTTCCTTTTAAGTAAGAACTCCTCATTCCTTCCCTGTTAATGTTAAGAAACCACTTACAAGAACATAAGCAGAGCCCTGCTGGATCATACCAGTGGTCCATGTAGTCCTGCATCCTGTTTGGTGTAGTGGTTAAGTGTGCAGACTCTAATCTGGGAGAACCGGGTTTGATTCCCCCACTCCTCCATTTGCAGCTGCTGGATGACCTTGGGTAAGCCATAGTTCTGTCATCTGTTCTCTCAAGGACAGTTCTCTCAAGAGCTCTCTGAGCCCCACCCACCTCACAGGGTGTCTGTTGTGGGGAGGGGAAGGGAAAGCAGTTTGTAAGCCGCTCTGAGACTCTTTTGGGTAGTGAAGGGCGGGGTATAAATCCAATCTCCTCCTCCTCTCTTTCTGTTTCACACAATGACTGTCCAGTTGCCCTGGGGGACCCACAAAAAAGGGCACAGAGGCCAGCACCTTTCTCTGATGTTGCCCCCTAGCAGTAGTGTTCAGCAGTTACTGCCTCTGGTAATGTCGCATCAGACTAGGAAGAAACACTACTTTTCAGAGGTTCCTTGGGATGCTACATTTATAACTGATTACTGGTTGTATTAATTTTTATTGATGAATTATGGGGGTTTTCTGGTATTACTAGTTTATTTTGTAATTGAATTTTGTTAATGCCTTTGTGGATTCTTGACAGGTAGAATAGAAATATTTCAAATAATGAATAAATATATTATTACTCCCATAACCTCCAAAATTTGGTATGTTCTAATTAGAAAACTTATGAAAATGTATTAATCATTATTAAAATTGGCATGACTGTTTCTGATACAAATAATTATTCCAACAACATGATCATTATTTAATCACATTTTAAAATGGATTGTATGAATGATTATAAAAATAAATTCATTTTTAACAGTTTACCAACTCTACTGTTTTCAACAACACCAAAAATATAAGGATCATGCTCAAACTCTGGGGCATTATCATTATCATCCTCGATTTTGATCACGTGCACAAGAGGTGTCTCTGGTGTATATCCCTCCGGCGTCACTGCATAGCAAATTATCTGTAGGGAGAGAGAAATATATATTTTTAATTGCTAGTTGCTCTCTAGAGCCAGGGTATACTTGTTTTGGCCCTTGTTTACATGCAAAGATCTGCTATAGCAAGACATAACAAGCAATTTCATAGTAGGAGCGAAATCCTCAAATATTAAGCAACCCAACTGAATGCTCAGCACAGAATGGGGCACATAGTTTGGTGAGGCCCCCGCTGCATATATATGGACATAAAGACTTCAAAATGGCTTCATCTCCATTACAAGAATGTAAGAGAAACACTGAATAGAAAAGATTGGAAACCATGATTTCAGGAGTGTCTGAAATTCATCAGAACACAGCTGAGGGCCAGTGTTACTGAGCAACAGTAATGGCAATCCTAATTGAGCAATCAAGGGGCACAGATGACCAATATTTTTTTCCACAGTAGTGAAAGTCTTTTTGAAAATTTCCCGGCATTTTGAATGGGCATCAATCACTGCTAAAAACATGTCAAATTCCGAGGGTCAAAATCTATATGAATGCATGTCCAGTGTGACCACAGCTGTGACTAGGGATACAGGCATGCTACATCGTTCATACTAGAAAAATGTGGCCTGCACCCATTCCATAGGGAGGAACATAACTGCCTACTTACAAGGGAAGAGAGACATCAGCATGTATGTAAACTGAAGCTGACATCAAAAGTTTCTTTGCTTCCTGAGATACTTTGGCACACTTGGATCCATTTTCATTTTGTCTTTTTGGAGCTGTTTGTTTTATTATTTATTTATTTATTTATTTATTGTTTTAATAGGGTTAAATGTAAAAAAATCAGTTTTGACTTGGAAGCACAAAAGTTTTATGCAGTATCCTCAATCCTCCACATTTCCTGGTTAAGAGGAAAATGCTGTTCAAACAAACTACAAAGATAATCTGACTCCAATGGTAACAAGAGAAAGAAAAATTTTACTTACAAAAACAGAAGCATATCTTGCATGACATATTCATGTAGGTACATTTAACTTATTGTGAACAGATTAACTTCAGAAAAGGTTAACTTGCTACAGCTCCAAGCCCAGGAAAGAGAGAGAAGAGAGAAGATGAAACAGAAAGGCCAAAGAGGCTCAGCATCTACCTGATCAGAACACAACTGCCAAGTGTACCTGAGTGAAAGAATTCTCTTAACCGTTTCCCTCCCAGATCCTCTTGCATTCAGTTACAATATCCAACACATGTAAGAGTGCCAGCACAGCCGACTGTTAAGTACGAGACTCAACACAGCTCATGAACAGTGAATCAGCTTTTTTCAACGTAGTCAGAAGAAATCAAGAACAAGACAAAAACATAGAGCAACAGGCTCTCTTTTAAACAGTCTGGGCTTGGGAGGCCACACCCACATGTCAGCTAACAACCAATAACTATTTACAGATAAGGTCCAATCAGAGTGCTTCCCACCAGAACATTGCACAGCTCTGATTGGTCTATTTACAATCCTGTTTGAGACTCAAGCTTAACATGGTTTTCAATACATAACAATGCCTCCCCCCTAAGACGGAACAACCTGGGAACACACGTCTTTCAAGTAACCAGGAGGCTGCCTGCTCCGTTGTGACTGTCTTAATGTTATGACTGGGGGACTGCTTGGCGTTTCCCTGTTGGAAGAGCTATCCTGCATACCTTGGGGCCAGTTTGCCTGAAAACTGTCTTCAGGTGAGTAACTGGGTTCTGTAGTAATACTGGGTGGTTCTCCCTCATGGGAGTTGTCCAAGCTTGGAAGCTCTACCCGTTCGTCCGGAATGGGTACGTCTGCCACCTCAGTAGTGGGGTCAGGGTCTGCCTCAGCCCACCGCTTCCTCAGTTGGTTGATGTGTCACTTGAACACACGACCATCTGTAAGCCGCACTGTGTAAGTGTGCAAACCCAGAACCTTGGTTACCGTGGCTGGCAATCAACAATGCCCTCCAGCATAGTTCCTCATGTAAACCAACTCTCCCTTCTCAAAACCCCAAGTCCGGTCAGTGGGCTTACTGTGTGGGGGTCTGGACGTGGTTAGGTCTGGGTGCATTTGGTCGAGGAGAGTGGTTAAGTGTCAGCCCATTAGCATTTCTGCTGGGCTCTGCCCCGTCACTGAGTGTGTCATGACGTTCTGGTGCAGGAGGAATGATGCCACCTTTTGGCTCCAGTTTCCCTGCACCAGGTGGCTAAGAGTCTTCTTAGTGGTCCGCACCATTCTTTTGGCTTGGCCGTCAGTAGCCGGGTGGAATGGTGCGGACGTGCTGTGCTGGATGAGATTTGCCACCAAAAACTCTTGGAATTCAGAGGTGGTAAAACAGGTCCCGTTATCAGACACGAGTGTGTCAGGCAACCCATGCATAGCAAAAATGTGGCACAGTGCATTGATTAGCATTAGGGTCGTCATTTCTGAAGTTGAAACCACCTCTAACCACTTTGAGTACGCATCGACAATGATTAAAAATATCTGCCCCTGAAATGGCCCTGCAAAGTCGATGTGGACTCGCGGCCAGGGCCAGTGAAATTTCTCCCATTGCTGTACCGGGGCATGTGGGGGATCAGGCCGGGACAGCTGGCACTCATGACACCTCTGCGCCCAACTCTCGATGTCCGAGTCTATTTTAGGCCACCAAAAATAACCTCGGGCCAGTCCCTTCATCCGCACTATGCCGGGCTGGCATTCATGCAGCGCTTCCAAAACCTTGTTTCTCAGTTTGGGGGGGACCACCACCCTGTTTCCCCACAATAAACATCCTCTGTGGACAGAGAGTTCGTACTGCTGTGATGCAAATGGCTTGAATTTGTCTGTGATGCGCCCCACCGGCCACCCCCTCCACACCCAGTTGAGCACCCTGGCGATAGTGGAGTCTCTGGCAGAGGCAGTCGCAGTGTCCAATGCGCGCACCGGAGGTTTGGCCAGTTCCTCGAGGGCCATCACCTCGAACGCCAGTGCAGGGTCAGAGTCCAGTTCAGGTAGGGGACAGCGGCTGAGGGCATCAGCATGCCCCATGTTCTTGCCAGGCCGATGCTCCAAAACATAGTCATATGCTGACAAGAGCACTGTCCAGAGCAACATCCTGGCCAACAAGATGTTAGGCGTTTGCCAGTCAGGCGCGAAAATTCCAAGGAGGGGCTTGTGGTCTGTAGCCATCACAAAAGGTCTCCCGTAAAGAAAATCATGAAATTTTTTCACGCCAGCCACAAGCGCCAAGCCCCCTTTATCTATTTGTGCGTAATTCCGTTCGGCTACAGTGAGTGTCCTGGAATAATACGCTATTGGTGCTTCTCTTCCGTCCGCCATTATGTGGATCAAGACAGCCCCCACCCCATATGGTGACGCATCTGCAGCCAGCACCAGCTGCTTGGACTCATCGTAGTGAGTACAGCATCGGAAGACAATAATGACTAGATCGCCTTAAAAGCACGGTTGTGCTACGAGCCCCACTCCCACTTAGCCCCCTTGTTTAGGAGCTTGTGCAACGGCTCCGCAAAAGACGCTTTATGTGGTAAAAATGCATGATAAAAATTAAGTATGCCCAAGAAGGACTGAAGTTCCTTCTTGAACCCAGGTCGTGGGGCATCTCTGATGGCCTGTACCTTGCTCGTTGTAGGATGTACCCCATCAGCATCGATTAAGAAACCCAAAAATTCCACCTTGGGCACTCCCAAGTGGCACTTCAAATTTTTTTACCTTCAACCCTGCCGCTTGGAAACGGCTTAACATAGCCCTGATGCGCTCCGTCAGTTTGTCTTTGGTTCTTCCGGCAATTAAAACATCATCAAAATAAGGGACTACCCCCGGCAGGTCCCTCAACAACCCCTCCATTAAGCCTTGGAAAATACCTGGGGCAACATTTACCCCAAATTGCAACCGGTTCACTTTAAACGCACCTCTATGCGTAACAATTGTTTGTGCTATAGTGGCTTGGGGGTCTACCAGAAGTTGTTGGTAAGCCTGAGCTGGATCTAACTTAGCAAAGACTTTACCTTCTCCCAAGGATGCTAGCACATGGCTAATGACTGGAACGGGGTACGAGTGTTGCTGTAGTGCCTTGTTTATTGTGCACTTATAATCAGCACAGATCCTTACTGACCTGTCAGGCTTAATTGGTGTCACTATAGGGGTCTTCCATCTCACATGTGATACCGTTTCTAACACACCTTGGGCCACAAGTTTGTATAACTCAGCCTCAATACGTGGTTTCATGGACAGGGACACCTTTCAATACTTTAGCCGTATAGGTGCTACTGACGGATCTAACTCAAAAGTTACCAGCGGCCCTCTATACATTCCCAACATGCCATCAAATACATCAGCAAATTCAGTATGCACTGCATTCAATTTATTCGCGCTGACATAGTTAATTCCGCTAATAGCAATTCTGAGGGCCTTGAACCAGTCCAATCCCAAAAGGCTGGCTCAGCGCCCCTCAGCAACAGGGAGGCTCAGTGACTCTCAGAATCCTTACATTGTACCTCAAACGTGGCTTCCCCAGCCACAGGAATGCATCTCCCCTGAAAATCAGAGAGGTGAATGCTGCTCGGCTTCAATCACCAACGACTCCATCGCGGGAAGAAATGCTACAATGTTTTGGATGATATGACGGTCACAGCTGATCCCGAGTCGACCTCCATCTCACATGGTACGCCATTCAGTAGGACGGTGACGTGGATCTTTTCCCTGGATCGTGATCCAGTCTTTAGGATGGTCGATGGGCAGGAACAGCAGTTGGTCAGATGGCGATCTGTGAACCTTGCGCTGTCCTGGCTGCAAACCTGGGGACGTGCACGAAGAGACGACGGTGGTGTCCTCTTCTTTCTTGACGTGCAGACCTTGGCCAAATGGCCCCACTTGTCACAGGATCGGCAAACGATGTCCTTCGCCCAGCAGTGATCCCACTCACTGCTCCGCCGCATCCGGCACAGCCCCGCCTTGGTGTGGTTTTCACTGGGGTCCGTTTGGCTCAAGAGTGGTTGACGAAATCATGCTCACCTTCACACTCGCTTGTTGATTCATGGTGCGCTGACTTGTAGGCTTGGGGTCAGGTTCTGATGCACTGCTTGTGTTGCCTTCTCTGCGGCCTCAGCGGCTACAGCCTCTGAGTAGGCCACAGCGTAGGTGAGGGCTTGCCGGGCAAACAGCCGCTGCTGCAGCTTCTTGTCCTTCATGCAACAGACATCCTTCATGCTGCCTTCCTTAATGCTGACATGTATTCAGCTATCGTCTCATTAGCCGTCTGGGACCATTTATAGAATGCGTGCCGACTAGCGATCTGCGATGGTTGCGGTATGAAATGTCCCTTCAGCTTTAGTTTCAGGTCAGCCAGGGACATGTCCTTGATCTCAGCGGGCACCACCAGGCACCAAGTGACATCGAATACAGCTCTTCCACAGGAACTGAGGAGTGTCGCCTTCTGCTGGTCTTCATCATCGATCTTGTTCACCTGGAGGTGGAACTCAAACTTGGCTTTATTCAACGTAATCAGAAGAAATTAAGAATGAGACAAAAACAGAGCGACAGGCTCTCTTTTAAACAGTCTGGGCTTGGAAGGCCACGCCCACATTTCAGCTAACAACCAATAACTATTTACAGATAAAGTCCAATCAGAGTGCTTCCCACCAGAACATTGCGCAGCTCTGATTGGTCTATTTACAATCCTGTTTGAGACTCAAGCTTAACATGGTTTTCAATACATAACACCGACAGACTTGATAGGAATTTACCATGAAAGTTAAGCAATCTTAAGAAGAAATACAGCTGTAAAACCTTTTTCTGGTACAGGTGCTTAAAAGAGTTCATTCTCCTTGTCAGCTGATTTCCTTAGATCAGTAGCATCAATAATATCCAAGCCAAGGGTTTAAACAATTCATACTTGCCCTGCTATACCATAAATCCATATTTTTCTAAACAAGCCCTTTTAAAATAGGTCAGAAGCAGAACTAACATCATAGGGCAATCTAATGTGATGCAATAAACATTTAATATATTTTGTTGAGGTATTTTTGATATAAAGGTTCAGCTTCTATTTGGAAGTGTACAATCCTTAAATCTAACTTACTGTAACACTGTCCATTGCTAACATCAGCAAACAAGTCTTCAGTTCAAGGTAGAAGATATTGAGCAGCTGGATTTGGAATCACTTTGAAATCTCTACAAATGTGAACCATGCTATGTTTTTAAGTCACAGGCACAATAGGCATTGTCTACTGTTGTTGTTGTTGTTAATTCAATTTGTTAATCTCCCTATCCTGGCTTACACTGAGCTCTGGGCAATGTATAAGGGGGCATAATGTCATAAAAAATACAACACATTAAAATTCAGTACAATATGATAAAACGAAGAGAACCAGAATAAAAAGATCCAAGATGGCGTCTTATAAATTTTCTATCCCAGTTCTGGACTACCTGGCCATTTTCTGGGTAGGAGGAGAAGGAACTCAAAACAAAAAATGCAGAGCAAGGGGAGGAAAGAAGGGTGCCAGCTAAGGAAAACTGTTGCTGCCCTCAACCGTAAGCCTGGTGAAACATCTCTGCCTAAGATAAGCATATGATCTCACAGGGCCCTGGTGTCATTTGGCAGAGAGTTCTACCAGGTTGGGGCCAGGACCAAAAAGGCCCTGGCCCTGGTTGAAGACATCTGAATATTTCTAGGACCAGGGATCACCAGCAGGTTATCAGTAGAGCACAAAGCTTTCCCAGGGACATACTGGAGGAGATGGTCCCATAGCTACACTGGTCCCAGATTGCTCAAGGCCTTAAAGGTCAATACCAAAACCTTGAACTTGACTCAGTATTCCATTGGAAACCAATGTAGCTGGCGCAGCACAGGTTGAATATGTGCTGTCCATGACGTTCCCATCAGGACTTGCGCCGCCACATTCTCGATCAGCTTGAGTTTCTGGGTCAGTCTCAAGGGCAGGCCTGCGTAGAGTCTGGAGGTCATCATTGCATGGATTACCGTGCCTAGGTCAGGGCATGACAAGAAAGGAGCCAGTTGTCGAGCTTGGTGCACATGGGAAAATGCCAGCCTGGTAGCATGCATGACTTGGGCTTCCATTGATAAGGAGGCATCCAAGGTCATGCCCAAACTCTTGATGGACAGCTCCAGTGTCAACGGAGCCCTGTTAAAAGCTGAAAGTCTGGACTCCAATCCCAAAGGCACCCCCCCAGCCACAGAACTTGTGTCTTTGTCCTACTCATTCTCAGCCTGCTCTTTTTTAGCCATCCCACTACAGCCTCCAGTCCCTCACCCAGATTTTGCATGGTGGTATCTGGTCATCCATCCAGGAACAGATACAGCTGGGTGTCATTGGTGCATTGATGACACCCAGGGCTTTTTTGGTAGAAAAAGCCCAGCAGGAACCTATTAGCATAATAGGCCACACCCAACAGCAGAAACTCATTAGCATATTAGACCACACCCCGACAACACAGCTCATGACCATATCAGGCCACACCCCCATGTTACCAGAAGTTAGGTCATCCAGCCACACCCACCTTTTGCCTCTTATTCTGTTCACCTTGTTTGTTGTCGAAATGCAGGGCTTTTTTTTGTAGCAAGAACCCCTTTGCATGTTAGGCCACACACCCCTAATGTAGCCAATCCTAATACGTTTCTGCTGTTGGGTGTGGCCTGTTATGCTAATGAGTTCCTGCTGGGCGTGGCCAACTTGGGAGCCAGCTGGAACTCCGTTCCTGTGCGTTCCTGCCCAAAAATAGCCCTGATGACACCTAAGCCCAAAACTCCTTGCCAGCTGGGCAAGGGGGCACATATAGAGGTTAAATAGCATCAGGGAGAGGAGTGCCCCCTGAGGAACCCAACATAATAAGGGTTGCCTAGAGGACACATCCTCACCCAGCACCATTCACTGTGAGAAACAGGTTTCAGCAGGCCATTTAGCACAAAAAAGTCCAAATTAGCTGGATGCTCAGTGACAGCGATGTAGACTCCCTCTTTCTCCTCCATGATGCTGACAGACAGCTAGGACATCCCTCTTGCACTACTGTCCAGGCAGTGCTTCCTTGGTTAAGAGTGCAGCTGGCCCAGAGCCACCCCCTGCAGCCACAGCCAGGTTGTCAGGTCCCTGTCCCTAGCTCCTGTTTCCTGTCACCACTCTGGCAGCCAGTGGAAGGGAGGAAAACCCCCTTTTTAAAAGAATCACCATCTGACTATAGTATGACATTACTTTCAGAGAAAACCCAGAAGTGGCTTCAGTGCATTCTAGGATTCTTAGAGAGATCTGATGTCACTTCCTGGTTTTCTCCAAGCAGTGGCATCACTCTATCGCCCAAGAATGCCTCTCATATCCCCACACCCTCTGCACTCTTGCCAGGTGCCATGCCATGCCTGGCAACTCCAGACAGTGCAACCAGGGTGGGCCAGCAGGGGATGAGGCAGCAAGTAGGCTGCAGGGCCAGCTCCTGAGGAAAGAAGCAACTTAGCAGACAAATGGTGAGGGCAGTGCTGTAAGTAGTGGACAGAGCTGGGAAGGCATCTAACACCAGGAGGATGGGGGCAAGAGGAAGCTACCCAGCCAAATGAGAGCTTTCCTCCAATCCTCATGGGTGGGGTAGAAATTGCCAAGAGGGTGTGGCACTCCACTGGTTATTTAAAGAGGGCCCAGAAGCAGGCCAGGGATGTGGTAGCTGATCCTGCTCTAAGGAGCAGAGGTGAATGAAGAGGAGGAAGATCCTGGTATTGCTGTTCCCTCTTCTGACTGAGGCCGAATGGGCTGTCTAGTGGTAAGAGAGGTCATGATAGAGGAGCAAGCAGTGGTTCAGAGGCATGAGAAGCCCAACAATCTACTTTCACAAGGGATCTCAGAGCATCAGGAACTACTTCGAATACTTAGGTTAGCAGTCAGGTTTCACAGAAAGCTTCACTAACATGGTAGTCATATGGCCCATTGTATTTATCTTGCTAGATTTCCACACAGCAAAAATGGCTGCTCCCTTCCATCAGAACTAGTTACACTGTTCCTGCCAGTAAGTGCTCCACTTTCCAGTTTTACTCGCCTACTGCCTTCTCCAGCAGTAAGGGGTCTCATACCTGTCTCTCATAAAACCCAATACACAAAACAGCATTGGGTCAGATTAATCTAGTTGCCAAATGCTATGTGTGTATAAGTGCAGAAGTTATTACCCAAAGAACTCACAACAACCGAGTGGTGCAGGTAAGTTCATCTCTTTTACAGAACTGACAGAACAAGAAACCAAGAGAGAGTAAGGTTTAAATGAACAAGTACAACACATTTTCATTTTCTTTCCTCTTTTAGTTTTTGTTCAGTTCCTGTTTTGTTTATGTCCTCTAGCCATATACATGTACATAACAAGTGAAGGAACTGCAGAATGGGCTGAATTTCCAGCTGTCTTTTCTAAGCTTTCTATCCTACTTTTGCATTTCAGCATAAATGCAGAACCAGTCTAGCACTCTCCTTATGTGGCAGTTTCATCTATCAGATAAGTATCAGGCAGACAAACTATTCATTTGTTACAACTGTTCATTCACCTTTAATGCCTTGCCTCAGAGGATGCACTTGCTGCTTTTAACAAGACCAGTACAAGGGTGCTGAACTTTCCTGTTCATCTGATCCTCATGTTGAGACAAATTAATACAGGCAATCGACATATTTTAAGGCTATTTATCCCTTTTTGGAACATGTATACAGAGGAGAGAAAAAAAACACCACAAGTCCATTTAATCTTGCATTATTAGTTAATAAACAGGAGCATGATGTCCATACCTTAAATTCTGGGTACATTTCCCGGTCTATTGGGCAAGTAACAAAGAGATTTCCAGTTTCTTTCTCAATGTAAAAGTAATTCAGAGGTGGCTGGTCAACACCAGGTCCACTTATGGAATATTTAATGTCATACTTCAAGGCTGTGTCAGAAGATAACTGTGAAGACAAAAAAATGAATCATATAAAACTTAATATTCTTACAATATATCCCTTTATTCAAATGGTGTTAGGAATCTCAAGATGTAGAATGGATGTCTTGGCAGATCAGCTGAAAGATTATCTTCCTAGCTAGCTCTAAAACTGTTCTCTATGATAGTGACTCCATGCAAGTGCTTGTAATGCTTATAAATGTGCTTAACATACTGGTATACTCAGTCACATGGGACATCTCCATATACCAGTGCTACACATTCCTGAGGACCACTGGCATTACAATGGAAACTGTGTGCCATTTGGCATGTCTGCAGTGTAAATAACTTACAACCACTGCAGCCTTGCGTGGTTGTCCCACCACATGGGAGTGCTCTTCTGTGACCTTGAGGCTGTAATATTTAAATAGGTCTATGTGGGGGATAGGAACTCAGAAACCCAGTGGAGCCTGACCTAGGCTTCAAGCTCATTACTGTGATATGGCCTCTTTATGACATTTCAGAAATACAACAGAAATCTTTCTTTTATGATTCATGAAATTGCATGGATGTGTTAGAATCAGAACAGTGGGGGGAGGGACTGTGCTACAAGTGCATCCGAAGAAATCATGCTTGCGCCCTGATTCGTATCTCCAGTCCTAAACAACAACAACAACAACAACAACAACAGTGTTTACACCCACAACAGCCAGACCATCAATACCAAAGATGCCACAGCCTCCACAGAACTCACAGGATATTTCAGTCCTAAAAATATTTTGTTTGTCAAAAGTCCCACTGATTTTCCTGATATTTCATTTTGTAGGGGGGGTTCTCACTCTCTCACTGTTCTTAATAAATATGCACACTAAAACATGCAATAGATGGGGTTTAGCAACCTCCTTCTGCATACAAAAGGAATGTTGACTCACACAAGCAGAGGCCAGAGGCCACAAACTCCCTCTGCCAGCTGCTGCTCTTCCCCCCAATGCTGTTCAAGGGGATCCCTGACTTTTGGCAGCAGTTTCTTAAGGGCTACACTGAGCTGAAGCAGGAAGGGAGGTAGGAAAATCACATAAGCACAACGCCACTCCTACTTCTCTGCATCCAAACCCAATATCTTATGCAAGTTAGATATGAAAATGATTTCAACTGGAAAGTGAATGGGTATAGTAAAACATACCTGTTGAATTTGCATTGGAAAAGGTCCCATTGAGTTTTCCATTATAGTTGTTGGGACTGGAGCCCATCTGCGTTTGCTTCGTCTAAGAGCAGTCCTTCTTACATGTCCTGCCTTAGCTCTTGAGGTCTGGAAGATAAGAAGAGATAACTAAACAAATAACAACAATCATACATGCTTGAATTGGCCAATCCCTCTGTGTACTATTATTTTTCCACAGACCTCTACTCAAAACCATACTCAAAACCATACCTCTACTCAAAACCTCTACTCAAAACCATACTCAAAACCATGTTCACAGTTAATTTCTACTCTTCATTTACAGTTTCACTGAGACTACAGAAGGCTTCTGTCGTGTGAAATCATTCTAATATGTTCCAGCTTTCACCCCGTCCATTAAATTTTGTTCTGTCTTCCAAACTGGATTGCTCTTGCTGGTAACATTAACCTGGTTGATCTTAAACAGTCATTACTTGCTACTTTATTTTGTGACAATTAATTTGGAAAAGTTGCTTAACAAATAATGTTTTGATCTACACAGGCTTTATCAAGAATACTACATGGGCCCTTTCTACACCCGTATTTTGCCTCAGTTTCTGAGCGCATCCTATTCTTCTGTTCTGCATTCCCTCCCGCTTTCACTTCCAGTTTGTATGGGGGTTTTCTGGTTCTTTTCTGCATTTGTTTTACAGGAATCCACATTCAGACCACTTCCAGCACACTGTTGCCCCACAGCTACCAAAACTCCTTTTGCTGTGATTCTTTGTTCTCATCTGCTTTCAAGCCGCTAATACTTTCTAAAGTAGAATCGTTTCTGCAGTATTTAAATGCTGCCCGCTGCCCTCCCCCTTTCTGGATTCCCCCCCTTCCTTTCTTTTTGCAGAAGGAGGGAGGGAGGGGTTGGCAGCCAATTAGCTCAAAAATGTGGGTTTTGCTTATATATGCAGAATACATACAGAATACACAAATAAGTAAACCAAAGGGGGGTGGGATACAGTGCAGAGAGAAGGTGTGCGACTGCAAAGTCAGCCCTTAAGGCTTGACTCCTCAGATTCTCTGGAGCAAGCTGTCAGTGCAGAAAGGGCCATAGGTTTGACATCAAGAACAAACTCCAGTTGGTTGTGACAAGAATGAACATAGTTTCGTTCTTTTGCATGCAGAGTAGAAATCGAAGGCATTTTGTTTTAGTTAATCTTTAATCTAGCTACATTTTTGTGACAATCGAATTTAGGTACTTTAATAAATTGTTTCTTGTCTACAAATCAGGAATCTAAAATAAGATCATTTAGAATTCACAGCAAATTGCAGTTGGAGCAAAGCATTACTAAACCAGGATACCTTCAATTTCAGGTTGGAGGAAGTGTGCAAGTCCAAGAATAAAACCAGGATCATTCTCAGCACAAAGAAACTGGCATACATTTGAATCTGGCCATGATGTCTTGTATCATGGGAAACAGCATTGCTAAAACCTTTGTAACCAAAGCAGAGACTAGCCATGCACCAGGGAAAAAAGAAGTGGAGCAAGCACATGCTGCAGTGTGGAAACTGAGCCCCAGCTTTACTGATTACAGATTCCTCCAGGCTTAGCATTGCATAGGTGTGGGATGAGATGTGACTCTGTCAGTGTGACAGCTGACAGTGAACCCGCAACACATCTTTGGGGAGGAAACTGAGAAAAGAGAACCATTTTAAGATAAGAAGCAGTGGAAGCCATGGTTCCCACCCACTATTTGAATCTTAGGGGTGTGATTGACACTTTTTGAGTTGTTCTGTATATCACTTCCATATGATCTTAAGGAGAACTGTGTTCCCTAGCCTGATGTCTTTAGATCTCAGAAGCTAAGCAGGATTGGCCCTAGTCAGTATTTGGATGGGAAACCACTAATGTCGCTATACCAGAGTCGCTATGCAGAGGCAGACAATGGCCTATTACATATGCACAGCTTATTGTTGATTTTCACTGAAGTCGTGCATCTTGAATTCGAATGCTGTGTGTGCACTCCACATCTTTCTTTTTCTCCAATGCTTCTCCTAGGAAGTGATTATTACAGCACTCCATTACAGAGAGAAATGTCCAAAAAGCTGCATGCTTCCTATCATAGCTTCCCACTCACTTTACATCTCTGGTCAATTTTATTCCCCACTGACGATTCCCCCCTCCCCCGCATGAAAATGCACACAGGACTGAAATCCATTTTTCTTGCACCAGAGAGGCTGCCATTTGCCTTTTCCACAATACTCCAACCAAACCAATACCAGCCAGGGGACATAGCTGCTTGAACAACTCTTTAAATTTCCCCCCATTGTATGTGGGGAGGGGGATATTCAGCTATCCGAAACTAGTGAAAAGACACCAACTGCAGGAGTTTGGTTAGCATTTTATTGCTAGTCTCAGATCACTGAATAAAAAAAATTATAGGTTGAGTAAAAAATTTAAAAGGCATGCAAGAGGTTCCAGTCCCATGTCTACAGAACTACAAAGGGTTGGATGGGTGGAACGAGTTTGCAGTGGGCTGCGAGGTTGATGTCAAGGGGCAGAGAAGTTCAGGGGAGAAAACTCTGACATTTCCATTCTCCTCTTTGGTTCGCTTTGATTTTGAAGCAAAGCAAAAAAAAATTGCCTCAAAACAGCAGTCAAAAACATGGAGTAAAGAGAAAATAACACGGGGGGGGGGGGGGGGAGGAAGCAAAAAAAAAAATCAAAGCCAGCATGGAAGCAATGTCAATGGTTGCAGAAGTGAGAGAGAAAACCCAACAGGCAGGTGACCTAAAAGCAAAGGGGAAATTATGTGCGTAAAAAGCCAGTGGGAAACCACCACTGAACATCTCTTGCCTTGAAAGCTCTACAGGGTCACCATAAGTTGGCTGTGATCTGGCAACAGAAAAAAATGTTCCCAGACCAATGTACAAGTGCCTAGTTGTGACAGCAGTTATACATGAGTTCTTCAGGACAACTGTGCACCGTTCATCTGCATGCTCTAACATTTTGCAAAACAAGGCCAGAATCCCTCAGCCACCTCAACCCAGGGTAAAATTCCTTTCTTGTTCCACCAACCACCCTGTAGTCACAAAACAGGAATCACAAGGCAAAGGGTAGGATCTGAAAACTAGGGTCAGGACGGTGGATTTACTGGAACAGGGTGCTGAGTGCCTGGCCCACCTCTAGCCATCTACTTATATATATCCAAGACGGTTCAAAAGAAAGAAGTCTTTCTTCAAGTCTACCCTGGCTGCCCCCTCACCAGCCCAGTGCCAGGTTGCCAGCCAAAGGGGTGAGTCCATGGTGGAAGTTCAGCCTCCCACAGGCAAGAGCCCACCCAGCTGCCCTTCATTCTCTCAACCCCCCCCCCTTCCTGTGCAGGGCACAGCAGGCACCCCCATTCATGGTGGAGAAGTGAATTTCTTTAAAAAAAATTAATTCTGCCTGCTGAGGAATACGATTAACAAACAAAATGACTATTTCAATTTAAGTGTATCTACCTTTTTTGGATGTGTTAGCAAACTAACAAGTATCGTCTTTTGTTCGTGTCCACTACTGCCTTTAAGGAGTATGGTGATGGTGTTTTCATGAGAAGACAAGGACATAGCATTTGTTGTATACAATGAACCATCTTCTAAAACTGTAAAGTTGGGATTGTTTGAGCGGATAAATTCTGCATGCTTAAGACAGTTTTTCACCTTGACTGAAAGAAAAATAAAGACTAGTTGGAATGGGAAAAAATTATAAAACACAAAACTCCAAACAGAGATGCTAAAAATGTCTAATCAATTAAAGTCATGGGGAGCATGCAGAGGAGTCCAGGCAGCCTTGGGCTAAGCCGTCTGAGTGCAAAGAGCCTGAATTCAAATTTCAATGTCTGTTTACAACACTGGGTTGATTTTAATTTCACATAAGTGTTGCCTGGATGCTATGAATTTTCACATGTACAATTGACTGATCAGTTTTCAAGTTTCTGGTAGAAATAAACATATGAAACACTAATAATACACCTACATAATTGTAAGATCAAAGAGTCCTCGGACTTTCTCACCTCTGCCAACTAATACTCCAGCTTCTAGTTCAGGAGGGACATTGAAAGTCACTTTCTTGCAAGCATCAGAGAATAAGTTCAATACCTTTAAAAAGAGTTCAAAAACTTTAAATCATCCATTTTAACTGCAAAAGAAAAAAAACCCTTCTAGCACAAACCTTGTTTTGATTCACTTGTAGTGGGAAATGTTGGCAGACATAACCATATTTGGGCCACAAAGGAAGTCAGTATCAGTTCATGCAACAGGATTAAAGTGTTCCTGTTTCATGATCCTGTATTCCTCTTTACAAGAAATCCGTTTGCTGATCCAAACTTAGGACAATTAGTAAATTGTAAAAAGTGCAATACAAAATCTATCACATTTTAATCTCAAACTTACTCCATGGACTTCAGGTAGCATACATGGTTCTTCCCTACTGCATTTTGTTCTCATCGTCCCCTGCCCCCAGTAATAAGTTAGGCTAAGAGAGACTGACTGACCAAGGCCACCCAGTGAGTGTCACGAAAATGCCCTATACGGAGTCAGACCACTGAACTATCAAGGTCAACATTGTCTACTCTGGCAATGGTAGAGGTTTTTCACATCACCATGTAACTGCTCCTTTTAACTGGAGATGCTGGGGACCGAACCTGGAACCTTACACATGTAAAGCTGATACTCCACTGCTAAGCCACAGCCCCACCCAACTACATCACACTGGCTGCCCAAAGTGAAAATCTGATTGACTTCAGTGAATTTCAGATTTCTGCAAAAGATACCATGCCTTTTCTGGTTCTTTCCATATAATGGTTGGAGTGTTGGACTAGGAGACCCAGGTTCAAATCTGCACTTTATTATGGAAGCTTCTTGGGTGACCTTGGGCCAGTCACACACTCTCAGCCTAACCTACTTTACAGGATTGTTGTGAGAATAAAATGGAAAATTATGTCAGCCGCTTTGTGTCCCCATTGTGGAGAAATGAAGTACATAAATATGTAAAAGAATTTTTTTGCTATTATAATCATCTTCCTCAGCTTTTCTCAGTGAGATGCAAGGCGGATTACAAAATACGCAAAGCAATTCAATCAGATAGCAAAGAATGAACAATGCAGTAGGACTAGGATTTAAAAACTGGAAAATAGTGCAAACAAAAAGCTGCCTCGGGCAACAAACGCTGCCTGATGTATGGTACATTTGAACTGAATTGTTTCTTACAGTCATAGACCAGGATAAAAATACACACAGTGTCAGAAATATTGATATCACTGGTATGTAGATAACATAAAAATAGCAAATATAATTCATTAAATTAATATAGAACTACGGTAGACTTTAGCAGCTGCAAAAAATCTGGCAACTATATCCATAATCCAAGGCTCATCATCCAAGAGAAGAAGGGAAGTATACTAGTCTACCGGGGTAGATTTTTTTGGGTTGGTTTTTTTTTTTTCGAGGACATGAGTAATAAAACCATATCTACAATCACCCTAGAAAGGGCAATGCAGTAAAACACGATAAACGGTTTCAGAGCAGGTTAAAAGCTTAGGGCTGCTCATGGACCCTGCCTTCAAGCATTCATTATTATTATTATGATTCTAAATCAGCTGGCAACAATGTAGTCAACAGAGTCAACAACATAAAATAAAAATTCATAGCCTCAGTAATCTCACTTCCATTACACATTTTTGTTGTTGTTCAGTTGCACAGTCGAGTCCAACTCTTACATACTTAATAAAAATATTTAACCAAGTGGGACCCTGCCGTGCTCTTTGTGTTGGTCAGGAGTACCTTCTGTCAACTGCATCTGGTTTGCCCACTCTCTTATTGCCTAGACTAAGCCCATCTGGCCATGCTGAGCCATACTTCTGCAACCTCACAGATGGAGTACTGCAAGGCACTCTACACCCAGAAACTACAACTGGTTTAGAATGCACAAGCCCAAATATTGTCAGAGGCTAGCTGCAGGAAACATATGTTGCCCATTTTGAAACAGTTGCACTGGCAGTCTGTTTCTAAGTTCAAGTCCAGGTGCTGGTTATGACCTTTAAAGCCTTTTGTGACCTGTAACCTGCATATATGAAGGACTGTCTCCTTCCATATGTCCATATGCACTGAGTACGGTCTTCAGGTCCATCTGTTATCTATTCTTTCACTTTTCTATCACAGCTCCTGATCTGTGAAATAGCCTCCCTTAAGAGGTGAAGGGAGCCCCCTCCTTGGACATCTTCAGGAGGTCTGCAAGTCTTCTTTGTGAGGCCTTTCAACAGAAATAGCAGGTATTTTTAGGGGAGGGAAGGAGGGTGAGATTTGGGGATTATTTTTTTATTTGGATTTTAATTGGGAAATGTTTTTAAACTATTGTTGTAAACTGCCTTGAACAAAACCAAAGGTCTTCATTATTGCAGTCAGAAGACTTCAAGGAAGGAAGGAAGGAAGGAAGGAAGGAAGGAAGGAAGGAAGGAAGGAAGGAAGGTTTCCCCACTTGCACATGACCATATACATTCTTGGTACTGTACACCATGATATATCCCTTCCAAAAGTGCAGAGGAAAAATGATGAAGAAACTGAATTACAAAGCAATTTAGTAAAAATGGAGGTAATGTGCAATAAACATATTGATAGATTACAATACTATCTTTTCAAAATAACTGGTTAGGTTGATAATTTGAATTACAAATGGTTTGGAAATAACTACAATCCATGTGATCCAGAGTTTCCTATTTAAATGTGAATTTCTGTAATTCTTTCTATGTTTTAACTGCCCCAACATTTATGGCTGTTTTGAGTAGCATTTTAAAAAATGTCATTTAGCTAAACTTTGATGAAATTACCCTCTCAAATTAAATACAGCTGAAATCCAATATATATGGTTTATCATTTTGTGAGGTGAGCTACATTGGAAAGACCACAGCTGCACAGTAACTGCACAATGTCTTAACGTTTCTGAAGTTTCCATTAAGTAGGTTTTTAGGGATACCTTTCTGTTGGTGCAACTTGAGGATGTGGACCTACCTCCTCCTTCTAGCAAATAAAATCTGCAGAGACTAGGTAGATGGTGAAAATAATCAACATCTCATTAGTAGAGTCACCAGTGACACTTTTAAAAAGGCAGAAACAAGAATATCGGGGAGGGGGACTAAATAACTATATTTGAAGCATTACCAACCAGTTTCAAATCGACCATTTCTAAGCAGTGGATTTTCAGCTCCAACTATGGATGATTTTTCAATTGACTTCCATCCTAGCCATAGTGCAAAAACAACTTTGGTCACCTTGATAGATTATTTATATCTGACCACTAATGTGGGGAGTTTAAGCCTATTGGTTCCTCTTGGCCTCTCGCTAGCTTCTAATATTATCAACCACAACATCCTTGTCGACTGCCTAATAGGAATGGGTATTGGTTAAGCAGTGAGGAAATTCATTCCTGAGGGAGATGATGCAGAAGCAGAGCTAAGGAATTTCTGTCCTCCACTTTAGCCTATTAAGGCTGCTGCCACACACGCTAAGTAATCCACTTTCAATCCACTTTCAGTGCACTTTCAAAGTGGATTTTGCCAGTTCACACAGTAAAACTCCAGTTGGAAAGTGCACTGAAAGTGGATTGAAAGTGGATTATTTAGCGTGTGTGGCAGCAGCCTAAGTTTCTCAAGGTTCTATTTTGTCTCACGTGTTATTTAACTCACTATACTGGGAGAAACTACCTGCAGATTTGGAGTAGACAAAACACTATCTTCCTTCCATATAGATGCAGGGAGGTGGTGGCAGAGTCTAGAGGCCATCCCTTGGGAGTGGAGGGCCCAGAATAAACTCTTCCCCCCCCCATTTTTAGAGACTTCAGGTCTCTCAAGACTTTCATTCTCAAGCCATAACTGATCATCCATGTGGTGGGATCTTCAGCAATGGTTTGAGGTTAAAATGTACACACTTTCTCCCTCATACCACTGCCAATTCCTTGTGCAGCAGCCATGCAGAGCCATCTCTGTTCATGTGATCAGCAGCTTCTTCAGGGAAGCACAGGGATTTGGGGCATCATAATTCTCTCTTTCCTAGGGATGGCTCTGTTTGTAGACAGAGAAAGGATGAATGAAGGGGGAAAACTGAAACTCATTCCAGACAAAATGGAACTGCTATAAACTGGGTTAAAGTTGATGTGGAATAGATGTACAGCCCGTTTTGCAGCTTGGCACGCCTGGATTCCTCTCTGCCCCTAGGAAAACAGAAGATGGAGGTGGCTAGGTGTGCTTTTTTACTAGTTTAGGCTGCTTTGCCAGCTACAGCCATTCCTGAAGAAAACAGACCTGGGCACTGTCATATCTTGGTAATATCCAGACTGGATCACATTCTGTGTAGAGCTCACTTTAAAGACAGCCTGGACGTTTCAGCTGACATGGGGGGGAGCACAATTTTAGCTGGGTTTCACCAAAACACATATATGACACGGATATTATATCAATTACACTGGTTTCCAGTTTGTTTCTGTGCCTAGTACAAAGTGTTAATTTGATCTTTAAAAACCTTAATGGTTCAAGTCTACAGTACCTGAAGGACCACCTCCACCCATAAACACCTGTCCTCGGCTCTGAGATCATCTGAGGGGACACTGCTGTGGGAATCATGCCGTCTCTTAGTTATGTTTGCTGGGGCCCCTTGTGAAGCCTTCTCAGGACTGGCTCTCGAATTTACTTCCAGGAAATTCCCCTGGTATTGAGTTTAGCCTTCTCATTGCAGGCCTTCCAGCATCAACTAAATCCCTCCTTATTCTGGAAGGCCTTTGAACAGTAATTTTAACCTTGATTTTAGTCCTCATTCTAAATTGTTTTAAAGTCCTGTTGTTATGTATTTTTTGATTGTGTGAGGTGCCATGGGCATAATTGTATGGAAAGTTACTGTAGAAATGATCCAAATATATAAAAACAAAATAAGATGGTCATTCATCTGATTTCTGCAACAGATAAAAAATGTCAAAACATCCTTTATTTTTGGCCACTATTGAAGTGTGGGACGGGTATTCCAATGCTGCATACCTCATCTGGAAAGCCAGGCTTTCTCTCTGGTGCACTAACCATGCATAGATGCTATAGAAACATATTCAAACAAGCAAG